GTGTGTGTGTGTGTGTGTGTGTGTGTGTGTGTGTGTGTGTGTGTGTGTGTGTGTGTGTGTGTGTGTGTGTGTGTGTGTGTGTGTGTTTTTGGGGAACTGATGGACGAAACCAGGGGGGTGGGCGAAACAGCCTCAGCAGTCGGGAGCTTGCCGGAGGCACGCCGATATTCACAGCGGCTCCCTCCCGCGCAGCGCGGCCCACGGGTCTTGCGAGGTCTGCGGGGAACTGCAAGGAAAAAAAAGGACGCGGCACGGCCTCGGCAGAGGCACGGCAAACGCGTGTGCTTCAATTCAGGTCGGCGGCGACACCAGGGGGGGAAGCGAGAAGAGGCGGGCCTTCTCAGAAGGCTCCGAAGTCCCCCGGCCTTCTGAGAAGTTTCCTCAGCCTTCCCGAAGACAAAGAAAACTGCTCAGACGGCGCGAGGGCGTCTGAGAAGTCCCGCCGTGAAGGCCTTCTCCTTCTCACTTCCCCCCCTCGCCCGCCGCCGGTCAGGAGGCCTCCCCTGCGACGTGCTGCTGCTCGCCCAGGGGCTGGTGTTGTGTTGTCCCCATCCTACTTCAGGACCGCATCCCAGACATAATTTCGAGCACCCAGGAAAGTGCCAAAAGAGTGTCGAAACAGTGTCGAAACAGTGTCGGGGCGAGTGTCTCCCAGGGCACGAAACGTGCAAACCCTTGAGTTTCGGTACTTTTTCTGGCGCTCGAAACTCTTTCTGGTGGTCAAGGCTGAAGTAGGAGGGAGCACCATAAGGCTGGTGGTCTTCGGCTGCGCCCGGCCGCTCAGGCCACCAGCGGCTCCTGGGGACAGGGGCAGCCCCGGGCAAGAGGGGGCGGGGAAGTTGGTCGAAAGCAGAAGTGTTAAGGTAAGGCGGCCTGGCGCCGCACGTCGGGGGGGGGGGGACAGATCGTGCGCAGCAGCGAGAATAACCAGCCTCGAACTTATCCCGATCCCTAAGATGGGCGAGCAAAACGCGACGACAATATTAGGGATGGGCCCTCAGAAACTGAGGGAATCCTTGAGATCGCCATCGAGGTGAGGTGATGTCAAGCATAGGGATCGGATATGTTTCAAACTGGTAAGAGAAGGAGGTTAGGAGGCAACTTCGTCGGAAGTACTCCTGCGGATCAAGCATCAGTGGGGAGCTATACGCCAGGTTGGGCCTCGGACTAAGCGGGATGAAGCCAGATTGAGCGGGATTCAACAGGATCGAGCCGGAGTTCGGGCCAGGGCAATGCCAGGATTGGACCTCCCAGGAGCTGCATCCGAGAAGGAGGGAAAGGGAGGGGGGGGGAGAACCTGACAGAGCCGCGAACCCCGACCCTTGGAGCTCGAGTGGGCCCGAACTGCAAGAGAGAGAGGGGAGGCAGGGGAAGGGGTGCACGCGGAGCGACACCCGAGAAAACCAGTCTAGAGGACGCAGCAGAAGGCACAGTCTCAAACTTTCGGAGCTCCTGCGCGGATTTCTCGAATCTTGAACCTTTCGCACTCCGCGCGCCACCGAAGGGGGCCCAGCGCAGATCCAAGAATTCCGCGCGGAGCTCAAACAGTTTATGCTTAGAGCGCCCTATCTGCCTCCATGATCAAAAGGCTGCGCGGCGGAGGGGGGAAGAGAGGAGAAGGAGCAACACAGGGATCGGCCCAAACAATGTTTCGCGTTTTGTCTCAAACCCGCCTTTGCTGCAAAACGGACTGGAAACGAACAAGGCCCACGAAATCGCCAAAACACCGTTGAGGTCGACCCTGGGAGCAACAGTCACCGCACCGACCTTGCAAACGTGCTGCAGCGGGTTTTCACTGGGATTTCTGCCAATGCGAAACCCCGGAACGGCCAGCGAAAAACGAAGCGACTTTCACGTGGATTTTGTGTTGAAGTCTTCACTCCTGGCCAAGAAATCATAGGAAAAACATCCGCACGACGTCCACTTCGGCATCCGGAGCGACCTTCTCCAGGACAGTCCGAGCCCATCCACTCGTTTCCCGAGCGGAATCTCCGCTCTGCGATGCTGGCGCCTCAGGAGCCCGCGGGGCAGCAGAGCGGTATATATAGAGAGAGGGGGAACAACAAAAAAAAAAAATCGTCCCCAGACTATGTTTTTACTATGTTTGAACATTCCTCCTGTAGAGGGGCATGCCCGACTTCAGGGAACTGCTGGGCGGCGGGCTGACCGAGGAGAGACCTTGAAAGACGAGGCCAGGACGAGGACAACATCGCGTGAGGATCGGTCGAGATTCTCCCCAAGAGTCCTCAAGGTGCTGCCGGGAGAGCCCAAGGAAGCGCACGAGCAGAGCAGCGATCCGCCAACCGCCCCCAACGAAATCCCAAGAAGCAGAAACCCCACGATCCCCCAGAAATTGCGAGCGTTCCGCACACTCCGTTTGTTCACTCTTACTGCCGCCCCAAGGGCTCGGCGGTGCGGCGTCAGCCAATGAATCTCTGAGATCTGGCGGCTCTGGAAGATGGAACTGATTATTGTTGTCCTGGCCCCGTTCGAGTGCTAAATCCTTCGGGGATCACCTGAACTACGGCCAGACCCAGGGCAGAAGAACACTCCAGAGCACGAGACCCTCCCCGCCGGCCAAGCCGAGAAACGTCCGAGGGCACCCTCACCCAGGATGCACAGGAGCATCCCACCAGCACGAAGAGCGGCAGGGCACCCTCTCCGAACCTTCCCCCGATCTTCTGCCTCGGTCCGACCGCACCCTCGGCCAACGTCCGAGGGCACCCTCACCCAGGATGCACAGGAGCATCCCACCAGCACGAAGAGCGGCAGGGCACCCTCTCCGAACCTTCCCCCGATCTTCTGCCTCGCTCCGACCGCACCCTCGGCCTCCTCGAGCCCCCACCCTCCGCCTCGACCCCACCTCGGCGCTCGGCCCCTCGGCCCTCGAGACACTCGAGAGGGCACCCTCCCCCGGGGATGCGCACGGCAGGTTCGTGTCGTGCCGACCCCAGCAATGGTTTTGGACACCGCAGGGATCGTTCCACCCTGAACGATCGGCCGCTGCCGCAACGTCCGATCGCTCCACATCGATCGATTCTGGGTCGCCGGCGGCGCTCAACCTTGAACGTCCGCGCGGGGGTCGCCGCCTGTCGAGACGACACAGACCTACCGTACGACCGCGTGCAGCAGGCGCGAAGAACCTCAGGGCACCCTCCTCGTGACCGACCTCGGCCTCGGCACCTCGGCCCGACCGCACCCCGGACCTCCTCGAGCCCCCGACCCTCGGCGCCTCGACGGCCCCCGACCCTCGGCCCTCGGCCCTCGACCCTCGATCCCTCGACTCGACCCTCGATCCCTCGAGGATGGGGCGGGCCGAGGGCCGAGGAGGAGGAGAAGGAGGAGAAGGACGAAGATCCGGGCGCCGGCCGAGGAGGAGAAGGAGGAGAAGGAGGAGCCGAGGAGGAGATGTCTGCCCACTTCTGGGCGCTGGCCGAGGGGGAGCTGGCCGGCAACCGCTGCGGGCGAGGACGGCAACGACGACTACGGCCACCACCACCACCACCATCACGAAAACCAACACGACGACGACAGCCACCGCGACGACGACGACGACGACGACGACGACGACAGCGGCGGCGGCGGCGCCGCCGACCGATAGCCTGACCGTTTCGCTCTGGGCAGCCCCATGCGTGCCCGCGCGCACTGGCACTGCGCACCCCCCTCGGAGCTGCGCACCCGACGGGGTCGGGCTATATATCGGAGGGGGAGGGGGGGGGCGGCGGGCGGGCCCCATGCTCCGCGTCATTGAAGCGGCGCCAGGACACACAAATAGATACACACAAATCAAACGATTCCCTTATATTTTCCCACATGTGCTGGGCTTCTGTCTTCCCCCCCACTTCCCATCTTTTCCCATATCTTCGGGGGAATCGAGGATTCAGTGTGTCTCTGTGTGTTTTGCTCCCTCCTGACCCGTGCTCCGCGTCATCGCCAGACCCTCAGCCTCAGATGCTGGCGGCGGGAAAAACTGGGCCTTACGCGAGATGGCACAGCGGCCTCGCGCGGTGGTGTGCGCGGGCCGCGGGCGCGGCACGCTGCGCCGGAGACGAGAGCGCTCGGATGCGCGCGACCTCTCGCGGGCAGCCGGCGCGCCCATGTCGGCGCGGCCGGCCTCGTGTCTGGCGTCGATCGGATGACGCGTGGGCGCTACCGTCGGGGCGTTGACCTAAGGTACCCAACATAAGGCACGAGGCCCCCTTTTTTTCCATGAGTTAAAGACTTCGATTCCCGATCGAGAACATGAGGAAAACCCGAGGCACGCTGCGAAGCAATGAAGGAACACCGAGCCCCTCCCCAACGAAAAGGGCTCCCTCTTCAGGGCCCCTGCTGTGCACGGTGGCAGAGGAACAGAGACGTCTGCAGAAGCACAGACTGTCGGAGGCCCGCGGGGACTTCCTGGGTCGGCGCTCGACGGCGGCGCCGGAGGCGCCGCCCAAGGGGGGGAGTCCAGCGCCGAGCCCAAGGAGCACGCGTGGCACTCCCAGGGTGTGTGCCTGCGCTGATGCTTCTTCCCTCAGGGGCATGCTGCGAATCCACGCCCGGGGGGCACCGCTGCTTTGAGCACGTGCACGAAGCGAGGCACGGCATCGAGCGAAGCAGGGCCTGACTCGGCGGCGAGCCTGGGGGGAAGTGAGAAGGGGTGGCCCTTCCCTCAAGGCTCGGGAGTCCCCCGGCCTTCTGAGAGGCTTTCGAAGCCTTCCCCGAAGGCACGGGCAACTTTTCAGAAGGCCGGAGAGCTTCTGAGAAGTCCCGCCGCCTTCTGAGAGGGCCTTCTCCTCGTCAATTCCCCCTCTCGCTCGCCGCCGAACGATGGTAGAGGAACAGAAACATCTGCACAAGCACAAACTTTCGGAGGTCCGCGGGAACCTCTAGGGTCGGCGCTCGACAGGTTGGCCCTCCCAAAGTGTATGCCTGTGCCGACGTGTCTTCCCTGAGAGACAAACTACGAATCCACGCTCGGGAGAGACCGCTGTTTGGAGCACGTGCATGAACGAGCTTTTCGTCAAGCGAAACATGGCCTCACGGGCCCTCGCCTCTTCTGCAGATGACCAGACCTTTGACAGAAGAGTATGATTCAAGAACGCCAGACCCTCCGCCGGCCAAGACACACACAACATCAACAGGCACGAAGAACATGAAGGCACACATGAAGGCACAATAACATCCAACAGGCACGAATAATATGAGGGCACCATCCCCGAATCAGCCTCGATCTTATACATCGGTCCGACCATACGAGGGAAAGTGGTGACTGGCATCCGCAAGCGTCTTTTTGAGGATGCACACGCGCCCTACTTGATGATGCCCCTGCCCCCGCTCCTCGAGCGCACCCTCTCCGGTGAGCAACGCAACGCAGTGCAAATCGAATGCAAGGGGCTGGACTGCAGGGCAAATCAATCAGTTATGCAAAGCCATGCAGTGCCACCGACGCGGGGGAGGGTTGGACGCAGGCAGCAGTTCTGGGGAAACGAAAAGATCGACCACAGTGCCTCTGGACACGGAGTGTGCGTGTCCTCGGGTCCAAAAAGCCTCCGAACTGCCTCCAAGAAGCCCCCGAGAGGCCTACTACGAGATCCCAACGACTATCCAAGAAGCTTCATACCCAAAACCGAACACGGCGGCGGGATTGGCCGCAAGCCATTAGGAAGTACTTCTACCGCTACTCCCCGGACCTGTCCTGGGCTGCATGCGGACCACAATTTCGGGGAGCATCCGCGGTGACGATGGGCTCTCCAGGACTAGCAGCGGCATCGGTATATCTAAAAACGAAGCCAAGACTAGAATAACACTGGTGAGGATAAACCGGGAAACTCTGAGATCCGGCGTCCGTGGAGAAATGTCTCGGGCGCCGCGGCGTTCTCAGAGCGTTCTGGAACGCTCTGAAAGCAGTCTGGAAAAACTCTGGAACGGATAGGTCCTCGTCCCCAATCTGTTTCAAAAACAACAGCAACATGATTGAAATAGAATGCCGATGTGGTAAAACAAAGCGGCGAAAAAAGCAGGAACGCTCTGATAAAATTGTTTGGTGGGCCTATAGGAGAGCCAGGACGCTTCGCCACTGCTTGAAGGAGGGCCCTTTTCTGCAATTTTCTTCACCCGGGCCAGGCCAGCTGTGCGCCCCGCCTCGTCGCAGCCCCACTAACTCGCTCCGCCAGGCAAGCTCGACGCCTGCCCCTACTCGAACTACCCCGTCCACTCCTGGAACATCGCGCCGCTGCTGCTCAACATCCTCCCTCCGCCTCCGCAGCAGTCCACTCCGCCTCCTCCTCCTCCTCCTCCTCCTCCTCCTCCTCCTCCTCCTCCTCCTCCCCCGTCTCAACCTCCAACTCCGACTCCTGCCCTCCTCCTCCTCCTCCTCCTCCTCCTCCTCCTCCTCCTCCTCCTCCTCCTCCTCTCCGCTGCAATTTTTCCTTCGCCCGGGCCAGGCCAGCCGTGCGCTCACGTCTCGTCGGCGGCCGGCCGCCGCCGGCCGTGCGCCGTCCGCTCAGCAGCACGCGGGCGACCCGCCGCGCCGCCCGCGGGCGGCCTGCAGGAGGCCTCCGCCGGCGGCTGGCCCTCAGCCCAGCAGCATGCTCCGAGGACAGAAACAAGGCAGGAACACAGCTTCTCTGAAGGGGTTCTCTGGAGGAGGAGTAGGAGGAGGAGGAGGAGGAGGAGGCGGAGGAGGAGGAGGAGGAGGAGGAGGAGGAGGAGGAGGAGGAGGAGGAGGAGGGGGAGGAGCAGGAGGAGGAGGAGGAGGAGGAGGAGGAGGAGGAGGAGAAGGAGGAGGAGGAGGAGGAGGAGGAGGATGAGGAGGATGAGGAGGAGTTGGCTCCGAGCAAAGGTTACGTTGCATCGTTGGGGGGCCTCTCCGCGTCGAGCCCGTGCCGAATCCATGTCGGCCTCGTCGGATCCGTGTCCAATCCGCGTCGAACCCGCGCCGGATCTACGCCACATCCGCACGGAGTCCGGATCGAGCCCGCTTCGGGCATCAGAAAAGTTACCAATTGTTGGGACAGGCGAGGCACCCCGGAGATGCTACGTACCACAGGGGGTCTCTCGAAATGGGGCCGCTGAAAAACAGATGTGCAGCAGCAGCTCCTGTGGCTCCACGGCGGGTGGCCTCCCTCACGAACCAGCGGGTGCCACATGCAGCGCAGTCTGCCCGCATCTGACACCGTCCAGCACGAACGCTTGCACGAACCAGTGTCCGGCCAGACATGTCCTCCTATACGGGCGGATTTCCAAAGAAAAGTGAACAAGGGATTGAGAACATACTCGAACATGCTAAAACTAAGACGTGTCCTCCTACGGACGGATCTTCAAAGAAAAAAGACAAAGGGGTCGAGCACATACCCAAAAATACTCAAACGTAGCAAAAACGTCCTTCCCAGAATATTGGTTCGACAGTGTCTTTTGAAGGGGCCCAGGGACACACAAATAATTACACACACATACAAAGATTCCCATAACTTTTCCATAGTTTCTGGGTTTTTGTCTCCCCCCCCCCCACACTGCCCATAGTTTCCCATATTTTCTGGGAAATCGACGATGAATTGTGTCTGCGTGTTTTTTCTCCTCCTGATTGTTGTTCGAAGGATCCTCCCGCGCGAAAGGAAGCGCGTGCCCGACGCAAAGCTGGGGCGCCAACGGGGGCCCCGTGGCCCGCGGAGCCGCGACCGCGGCCCGCGCGGGCCTCTCGCAGCGGCGCAGGGGGGCCTGCCCCCTCCTCCTCCTCCCTCCTCATCCTCCTCCTCCTCCTCCTCCTCCGCCTCCTCCTCCTCCTGCTCCTCCTCCTTCGCCTCCCCCCCTCGTCTCCTCTCCTCCCCCCGGGGTTCACAGCTCCCACGGCGGTTCACCCCCCCGCCGGGGCGAGGCCGGGGGACCTGCGGCGGCGCGCGGAACGCGCCGCCGCCGTTAGTCACGCGGTGGTCGATGTTTCGGCCGCGTGCGCTTTAGGAGTCTCTCCACCCTGTCGCCCAGGACAGGCCTGGAGGTAGGCGGCAGGCTCGTCTTCGCCGCCGTTGTGCGTGTTTCGCATCTTCGGAGGTCAGGCCTGCAGAATCCAGCAGAATCCTCCTCACTCTCCTCCTCCTCCTCCTCCTCCTCCTCCTCCTCCTCCTCCTCCTCCTCCCCCTCCTCCTCCTCCTCCTCCTCTCCTCCTCCTCCTCCTCCTCCTCCTCCCCTCCTCCTCCTCTCCTCCTCCTCCCTCCCCTCCTCCTCCTCCTCCTCCTCCTCCTCCTCCTCTCCTCCTCCTCCTCCCTCCTCCTCCTCCTCCTCCTCCTCCTCTCCTCCTCCTCCTCCTCTCCTCCTCCTCCTCCCTCCTCCTCCCTCCTCCTCCCTCCTCCTCCCACCTCCCTCCTCCTCCTCCTCCTCCCTCCTCCTCCTCCTCCTCCTCCTCCCCTCCTCCTCCTCCTCCTCCTCCTCTCCTCCTCCTCCCCTCCTCCTCCTCCCCTCCTCCTCCTCCTCCTCTCCTCCTCCTCCTCCTCCTCCTCCTCCTCCTCCTCCTCCTCCTCCTCCTCCTCCTCCTCCTCCTCCTCCTCCTCCTCTCCCCCCCCCCCCCTCCCCCCCCCCTCCCCCTCCTCCTCCTCCTCCTCCCCCTCCTCTCCTCCTCCTCCCCCTCCTCGCCCCTGGCGCGGAGAAGCCCCGCCAGAGCTACGTCGGGCATCTCCCCCTACAGGAGGAACGTTCCATAATAGTCAAATGAAAATATGGGGGCGATTGTTGTTTGATTATCTTGGACCATTTGGGAATATGTGTGGACTATGTCTCGTTGTTCCTCGAGAATCCGCCTGTAGGGCGCCATGCCCGACCAAACGCCAGGCGGCGGCGCTGGTGGCGCCGCCGAGGGCGCCAAGGGGGCCCCCCTGCGCCACTCCAAGAGATCCGCGCGGGCCCCCGAGAAACTACGGTGGGGGCCGACCACAAGAAGCCTTCCATAAGAAACCCAACCCAGAGACCCCAGGACGTCCCTCGATATCTGGTGCGGGAACGCCACGCTTTCCGTGGCAAACCATCGAAGCCCAAGAAACCCAGGGCACCCTGGAGGCAAGCAGGGTGTCTCTTGGCAGGGGCCCCCACTGTATCCTTTCTTTGGGGGGGAGGGGGCCCAGGTCAGCAGGGCCGGCAACAGCAGGGATAGAGGGGAGTCGGTTCTGCAGACGTGCCTGGCCAGACCTCCCAAACAGGTCATTCCGAGTGCGAAAAGGGGGACCTCAGGGAGGCCACGTCTTCTCTGCGCTATTAGGCTTAGGTCGGGAATGGACAGACCTCCCTTTAGTAAAGCGTGGTTTAGTGAAAACGACCTGAGGCCAAAACCTGGCGGGCGCAAGCCTGGAAACTAACGGCCGCGGCGCCTTCTCGAGAACCGAAAACGGACAATTCCCTAATCGACGTGTCACCGTTGGGGGTTCTGTCCGCCCCCGATCTTAGGCTTAGGGGCCTCTCTGATCCTCGATGCGCCAAAGGGGGGCCCCCCTGCGCCAGTCCAGTCGGGTCGGGCGAAAGGGGGGGATGGCAAAGGGGGGCTTTGAGAATCAGCTCACGTACCTGATTTTCCAGGCGCCTCCCGGCGCCGGAGGCGGCCATGTATCGAGGAATGGGCCCCTCGGTGAGGCCGAAACCAGCTGCATGCAGCAAATTTCGTAACCCCCCCTTTCCCAATCCCCCCCTTTCGTCCGGCCCGATATTAGGCTTAGGGGACTCTTTGATCCTCGATGCGCCAAAGGGGGGCCCCCTGCGCCGGTCCAGGAGATCCGCGCGGGAACTCCGGGAGGCCACATCTTCCCCATGCTATGAAGCTTCGGGGCCGCTTTGATCCTCGATGCGCCAGAGGGGGGCCCCCTGCGCCGGTCCGGGAGATCCGCGCGGGCCCCCAGGAGGAGGAGGAGGAGGAGGAGGAGGAGGAGGAGGAGGAGGAGGAGGAGGAGAAGTTATGCTGGCGCCTTTTGTTTTGCTCCTCGACTGTTGGCGGCCGCCTCCACGTCGCCCGCGGCAGCCTCCAGTGCAGCGGCCGCCTCCTTCTCGGGGAAACCAAAGGGTGCCCATCCTTTATGCTGCTCCTATCGTATTTTCGAGACCACAGCCCAAGCATAAGCTCGAGCACCCAGAAGAAAGGTGTCGGAACAGCGTCGAGCGAGCAGCGCCTCCCAGAGCCCGGCACGTGAAAGCCCTCGGTACATGCTTGGTGCTCGAAATTCTTTCTGGTCCCTGAGATCCGACGTTGCAAAAAAAATGCAACATCGCAAAAAATCACGCCCAGAGCCCCGGACCGTATCTTTCTGCGTCATTTTTCGAGCCAGATCGATCTGTGAGGGTCCCGGGGCCCGAAATTGGGCTACGACCCCCGCTGTCAAAAAATTGCAACGCCAGGGTCTCAGGGGTGGCCCAGGCTAAAGTAGGCTGGAACATCACAACATAACCCATATACTGCTCGTCCCCGGCCCTCCGCCAGGAAGGGGCGCGCTCCGGCCGGGCCCTCGGGGCGCCTCCGGGCCGCGGCGACGAGGGCCTCCCAGGAGGCCCCCGGGAGGCCAAAACGGGGCACGGGGGGGCAGAGTTCGGCGGCGAGCGCGGGGGGGGAGGTGAGGAGGGGCGGGCCTTCTCAGAAGGCTCAGAAGGCTCAGAAGGCCCCCGGCCTTCTGAGGAGCTTCCTTAAGCCTTCCCCGAAGACAAAGAACACTCCTCAGAGAAGGCGCGAGGGCGATTGAGAAGACCCGCCGCCTTCTGAGAAGGCCTTCTCCTTCTCATTTCCCCCCCTCGCTCGCCGCCGAAGAATCGGGATCTTTTTCCTCCTCCCCAGACCCCCGACGTCATGACTTCGTCATACGTTGACCCCCAAAGGCCTCGACCCATTCCCTTGGACCGGCTCTTCCTCCCGAGTCATGTTTTCTGGCGGCCCCGACGCCTGGGAAGGGCCCCCAGAGGCCGAAAATCGAGGAACATTTTCCCAGGAGGCCCAATAGCGCAAAACTGAGGCAAGGGCGACGGTATCGGTACAGTCAAAACGTGTTTGAAGGACGGGTGGCAAGGACGCAAGACCCTTGGAGGCCGAAGCTGGGATTGTTTTCGGGCGGCGGGCGACCTGAACCCAAGAGACGCAAGGGGTTACCCTCACCCAGGGAAAGGCGAGTGAAAACGGCAAAGGACGGGCCGCAGAGGCAAGGATACAAGGGCACCCTAAATGAAGGCGCGCGTCCTTACTAGGCGCGTTGACTGTATCCTTTCCCCCTCTGGAATTAGGTAGCTCCCATCGTCCTTAAGGGCCGAATCCCAGAAATAATTTCGAGCACCCGGAAAGGTGTCAAAAGAGTGTCGACACAGTGTCGAAGCAGGGTCGGGCGAGTGTTTCCCAGGGCCCGACGCGTGAAAACCCTCGAGTTTCGGCAATTTTGGGGGGCTCGACAGTCTTTCTGGTGATCAAGGCTAAAGTAGGTTGGAGCATCATAATACCAGGCGCGTCGACGGTATCCTTTCCTCCCCTGGAGGCGGCGGGACTATCCTCGGAAGCCCTCGCACCCTCCGAGAACATGCCTATCTTCGGGCGGCCGGGGGCCCTCCGAGTCCTCTTTTTTTTGCAGGCCTCCTCCTTCTCTGAAGGGGCCCTGGGACACACAAATTAATACACACCGATGACAGGACTCCCTATATCTTCCCACATCTTCTGGGTCTCTGTCTCACCCCCCCCCCCTTCCCATGTTTTCCCATCTATTTTCCTGGGAATCGACGATGAATTGTCTGCGTGCTTTTCCCCCTCCTGATTCTCACTTCCCCCGCAGCGGGGGAAGTGAGAATCAGGAGAGCGGCGGCCGCTCTCCCGCCGCCGAGCATCGGCATCCTTTCCCCCCTCGGCTCCTCGCGGCCGAAGCCGAAGGCCGCCAGCTGCGCCAGCGCCTCCTCCTGCGCGGCGGGCCCCGCGGCCTCAGGGCCGCCCGGGCCGGCGCCGCCGCCGGCGGTGCAGACGGCCATCATGTGGAAGCGCAGGGCCTGAGGTGGGCGCTGCAAGGATGCTAGAGGGATCCAGGGACACACCAATGAGTACACACAAATAAAAAGATCCCCCCTCGCTTCCCATGTTGTTCTGGGTTCTTGTTTTCCCCCCCCCACTTCCCAGATTGTCCCCTCATTTCCTTGGGAATCGACGATTCATTGTGTCCCAGGCACCACGAAACATGAGAGATCGCTCGAGGGTGCCCTCTCCCCCAGGATGCACAAGGAACATCCGACAAGCACGAAGAACATTATGAAGGGGCCCTGGGACACACAAATGAGTACACACAAATAAAACAGATTCCCCTATCGATTCCCACATGTTCTGGGTTTTTGTCTTCCCCCCCACTTCCCATATTGTCCCCTTATTTTCTTGGGAATCGACGATTCATTGTGTCTGTGTCTTTTCCCCCTCCTGAGATGCAGCCAGACCTAGGACAGACGAGCACCCTGCAAGAGCAGGCGACCCTCTGCTGGCCCGAGCACCACGAACCATGAGAGATCGCTCGAGGGTGCCCTCTCCCCCAGGATGCACAAGGAACGTCCAACAAGCACGAAGAACATTATGAAGGGGCCCTGGGACACACAAATAAATACACACAAATAAAAAGATCCCCCATATGTTTCCGTATTCTCTAGGTTTTTGTCTTCCCCACCACTTCCCAGATTTTCCTACATTTTCAGGGGAATCGACGATTGATTGTGTCTGTGTGTTTTCCCTCCTGAAACAAGCACGAAGAACATTAGGGTACCCTCCCCGAACCGACTTCGATCTCGTGACTCGGTCCGACATCGATCTCCGAACAGAAGCACGCCATCCCTGTGAGGCGATCCCCCCGGCAAGGGCGCCCGTCTGGGCACGCCGTCCCATTGCCAGGGTAGGGGGGCACATACGAACCCTACCCCACCCTCCCCCTCAGAAATCGTGGGGGGTAGGGGTAGGGTTCGTATGTGGCCCCCTAAGGGTATCTTCGGCGCACGCCATCCCCCAGCTGGGGGGGGGGGATCGTGTAGTTAGTAATTGGGCCGGCGACGCCACATGGCACGATGTCCTTGCAACGCCAGTCAGAAGCTGGCGGCGTGCCCCTGGGGGTCCAGAGAGAGAGCCCCTTGCAAGAAGGCAGGAGGGGCTTCTTACAGTCGGGGCGTGGACCTAAGGAACCCTGAATAAGGAACGAGGCCCCTTTCTCCCATAAATGAAACTTCGATTTCCCGTCGAAACCCTAAGCAAAACCAAAGGCGAACTGCAAGACAACTAAGGAACACCGAGCCCCTCTTAAACGAAAAGGGATCCTTCCTCAGCGCCCCGATTGTAGAACCCAGACCCCCTCGAGCCATGACAAAGCACGGCGGGAGGTTCTCCGCTAGTTTCAGCGTGTCGGGGCCCTTACTGGGCTTCGGGACCGGAAAAAGAAAACGACTCTGGGTGAAAAAACAGCCCCGGGGGATGAGTCGAGAACTCTGGGGCTCGACGCTCTGACGCAACAAACACTGACGCTGCGGGGCGGCCCAAATAGGAAGGCAGAGGGGCTTCCTAGAAGGCAGTGATCTCAGAAGCCCTGCGGCGCTTCTGGGAAGGCCCTCCGCCTTCTGAGCGCCTCCACGGCCCGTGCACAAGCCCTGCCCCACCCTCGCGCCACCCTCTTTTTTTTAAACAGAAGCACGTTACTGAACTTCTGATGGACCAAATCCACTGCAAGACCGGCCCCTGGTACCCCGACAAGGGGCTAACAGACAGCCTGACCGCGCCATGGCGGTCTGGCGCTGAAGCGGCAGAGTGCTCCAAAGGCAGGACACAGGCGGCGGAGGAAGAGGAGCCGCCGCCCTCCGGCGCTGCGAGCGTTCGCTCCCGCGGCGTTCTCAGAGAAGGGGAGACGCTTCCTGCACAGGGCCCCGCCGTGAAACTCTGCGTGGCCAGCTGCAGCCAGAGGGGAGCAGAGGAGAGGGGCCGGGGGAAGCTGGCGCTGGCGCGAAACGCCCACGCCTCCGCCTCCGCCCCGGTGAGCGGCTCGGTGGGCGCGCCCGGCCCGTGCTGCTCCGCGTCCATGACCTTCTTGAACGCTGCCGCCTTCCCCCTGACCTCCTCGAGGGGCATGCCATGCAAGGCTTCGCCCGATCACACAGACGACAAGGAGCAGGAGGCACGCTCCCACGAAGCCCTCGACCAGGTAGGGTATCGCCTTCTCGGTCACCAGCAGGCAGCAGACCAGGCCAAGATCGCCTCGAATGCCTTGTCGTAGTCGACGGCCGCGAAGTTGAAAACAGTGGCATTCAAATAAAAATCCAGGCCGCACCGATGCACGCACAGATGACAAGCGGCCGTGCCAGGTCGAGCAGCGTGCCGCTCAGCTCCCCCCAGGGCCCAGAAGGCCTCAGAAACTCGCCCCACGTGCCCACACCGCCCAAAAGCTCCGCGACCCCGAGAACGAGCCGGATAAAATCTCCACGAACGCCGCAGCAGGGGCCAATGTCTGTGCCGGAGGCCTCCTTCATGAGCTCAGTCATCGGGTGGCCGGGCAGCAGCTTGCCGAGGCCGACGCCCGCGATCAGAAGCAGCCCAAAGATGGTGCCCGGCACCGGGGCCACCACGCCAGGGATCGACGCCAAGGCGAGGCAACGAGAAGCTGCGGGTTTGGCGACAGAGAGAGTCATGCAGAGCTCTGAGCCAGAATGGCGTGGTCTTGAGCCAAAGTGGCTACGGAAACCCTCGCGCCACCCTCTTGAGCGCACCACCGACTCAGACGAGGCCAAGATCAGGTCGGGCATGTCCTCCTACGGGCGCATTCTGGGAGAAGAGTAAAAAACTGCCGGACACAACTATTCAACAACAAATCAAAACGAACAACATACTCCAGATTTCGTAATAAAAGGGAGGGGGTCTGGACCCTCCAAGACAAGCCATGTCAGACCTCCCCCTGTGGGAGAACCCTCCAAAGCATCGTCCCCAGACCCCCCCAGGCCCTCCAAGATAGCTTGGAAGAGACCCCCCCCCGAAATGAGACCCCCTCCCTTTTATTACGAAACCTGGAGTATGCTTAACATGCTCTTGAACCTTCCTTCTGTAGAGGGACATGCCCGGCCTGAGACCAAGACGAGGCCAAGGCCAGGGCAGAAGATCGGAGGAAGACCCATCGGGGATCTCCGAGGCCCGCCGGCTCTGGCTGCTGCATCGGGGGGCGTCGCTGCCGCCCCACAGCGATCCCCGGGCACCCGGCGTCTCGATGTTTGCAAGACACGGGCCCCCGACCTCTCGACCACCCAGTGCCCAGTCAGTCTTGTGGAGGGCCCCGCGGCCCGGTGAGGCCCCCCAGAGGCCGACAGCTGTGAAAAACCTTCTCGTCTCGATGTTTCTGAGGCGCCAAGGTGTCTGGGTCTGGGACGCTCCGAGAGCATTCCGGAACGCTCTGGGGCGACTGATGCCGGCCCTGGTCACACTCGGAGGCCACCTGAATGGAGCAGGGCGGCCCCCTGGCCTGGGCCGCGGCACGCGAGCGTGGCATCACCCTCGCGCCCCCGCGGGGTGACCCAATGTCACCCATCTCTCCTCCCCTTCCCCTTCCAATCCCCATCAAGTTTTCCTCGACCCAATGAGGACCAGCATCGAATCGGGAGGCCGGGTCGACATAGGAGTCCCGTCGAGTCTTTCGAGATCAGGGCCAGGGCCAAGTCGGCAATCGCCACGTCGGATCAGAAATAGGCCATCGGAAAGCGGAGCTCGAATCGGATCCAGGCTGAACCCTATACACGTTGGTCGGAAGATGTGTGTAAGAACATGAAGTAGGAAGGCGGTGAAAGTAGATTGGGCGTCCGCCCGCACCCTGGAGAGGAAGGAAGAAGGGAACCGACTCTATGATTGGAGCAGGAAGGCGCCTAAAGTAAATTGGACTCTGGGGATCCTGAAACATACATGCTGTCAACGACCGACGGACGTCCTCCCCCAGGCCTCCGGGGACACGTCCATGTAGTGGGCCCGGATCATGGCGCAGGCCGCGCGCAGGAAGTCCCCGCCCCACTCGGCGACGCCGCCGCGGGCGACGGGCCTGTCGTTGCGCCCGTCCAGCTCCACAACCTGGCCTCGGATGTCGACGAAGGCGATGAAATGAAGGTTCCTGTTGGCTGCGCGGTCGTGCTTTGCCTCGCTCGCCTTCTCCGCCTCTGCATGGGCCCTCTCGATCGCCTCGTCCTCCTCGAGCATCTTGCCGAGGTCGTCGCTCGACATGCCCGGGCTGTAAGCATCCAGGAACTTCTCCAGCCACGAGCCAGCCTCCGCGGCCTCACCGCCGTGCCTGCAAAGGTTGGCCACCGTGTGGACCAGCGCGATCGTGCCGCAGGCATTGCCCACCAGCTGCTTCACGTGTCGGGTCGGACGAAAGCCCAGACTTCCACCGTTTCGTAAGATTCAATTCGAAGATTCTGCATCATGTTCGACCTCCAGGGGACCTCGCGAGAGCCCAGGACGGAAAAAAAACATGAAAAGCCAGCCACCGGGAAAGAGTCAGGACTCCTGGGACACGCGCATGGAAGCAAACCATACATCAGACATCTGGGAGGGGTGGACAGCACACGTCGGGCGGGTGGTGATGGGCGGTGACCTGCATGGGGTGTGAAGACGAGAGCTCCTTGAGGGCCTTCTCTCTGCACTCCCAATTTAGGTCACCCCCTATTGACACCCGTCCCAGCAGGGGTGTTCGCGAATCCGCCTCCCAGCGCCTCCCGACGCAGGAGGCGCCACTGTATCCAACAAAACGCCTGGCAGCGGAGCCAAAACCACCAGGCGACGAGATCTATATTGTCACTTCCCCTTGCCAGGACCATCCTGGGCCCGGGAGCGGTGTACATTCATAACCAGAAAAGTCTTTAGACCCCCCCCATAAGGGGTTATCAAATATTTGTCTACCGGCCTCGTTGAAGGACTGGGGTCCCACCAATGGGGGGTAACGAATCACTTTTGTCCCTCCTCGGCAAATGTGTTGTGCTCCTCCTCCTCGAGGAGTAGGAGGAGGAAGAGGAGGAGGACGAGGATGGAGAAGGAGGAGGAGGTGTTAGGACCAGCCCTCTTCACCGCCGAGAGAGGGGTGGGGGGCCACAACTAAAGAACTGCAGCGGCTACATGCTTCCCTGGCCGACCTTGGAGGGCAATTGCACCGCTCCTGGGCATGGACCCGGGCAATGTATGTGTACGTTGAAGTGGGGCCTGTCCCCCTACAGGGGGAATTTCGACGAAAAATAAAACATACCCCAAAAATAATGAAAACATATGCAAAACATAATCTGGGGACTATTTTTTTAGTATTGTTTGCCTTCTTCGGGTATGTTGGGGGTATTTCACATTTTTAGTCGAAAATCCCCCTCTATGGGGACACGCCAGACAAAAGTGTACGCATATCTTCGCACTGAGCCAAATGCGTGCATCAGATTTCACACAACCCGCCATTTCCGACTCCCCGAGGTGCAGCGTCGGGGGGAGACCGTCTCGGGGGGAGAGCATCGACCCAGCATCGGAGATACATCGCCGATGATCGGCGGTGGCCCCCGATATTAGCACATCCCGACCCTCCTGGGCGGGGTCGGCTACTATTGGGCCCCTATCGCTAGAAGGCCCAAGGTTCGCTACTGACTGGTTTCCCCCAAAACCACGAACGCCCTTCACAAACCCTCCCGAAGCCCTCCGAAACCCTCCCGGAACCCCTCCCGGAGGGCTTTCGGAGGATCTCGGTCGGGCTTCGGCCGGTCTGAAAGGACACCAATCCCTGGCGAACCCTGGACTTTCTAACCCTATCGGCGATGCACGGGCAAATGGGGGGGGGGTCGGTGCATCCTCCCTCTGAGCCTAACTGGCCCTCCCTGAAGTTGCCCCTGACGCGCCCGGCTCGTCCGACCCCCCCAATGTGAACGATGCCCTCGCAGAGCGGCGGGCCGGACAACGCGTTGGACAGACCCGCCCTGCGCGACGCCTCCGTCTGGTCGCTGATGGTCGGGTCGGGCGAAAGGGGGGGATAGAAAGGGGGGGGGGGAATATCAGCTCACGTGGCTGATTTTCCGGGCGCCTCCCGGCGCTGGAGGCGACCATGTATCGAGGAATGGGCCCCTCGGTGGGGCCGAAACCAGCTGCACGCAGCAAATTTCGTTCCCTCCCCCTTTCCCAATCCCCCCTTTTCGTCCGGCCCGAGATGGGGAACAGCAGGAGCACCGCGCGCGCCGGGCGGGGCACCACGTCACGAGGAGGAGAACAACGGCACAGGCACAACAGACGTTCGGAGCTCAGGGCGGGTGTCGTGGACGGGCGCGCTGTGAAGACGCTGATCGGGCTCCGAGCTCGGGGCTCGCAGCGCTCGCCACTGCTACTTGGGCGCAGTGGCCTACAGCGCCGGTTGAGGCGCTGCAGTCTGACACTGAGCCCCTCGGCGCGCAGCAGAAGCGTAGTGTGGCCTACAGGGCAGTTTCTAATACACAGGATTTTTCCCTACCTAGGCTCTGCCTAGAAGGGTTCTTACTCTCTGAGCTGAAAAGGGCAGGGCAGTGGGCTCCGCCCCGGGCGGTTCCCCCGGCATCCGCCCCGCGGTTCCCCCAGTTACGTCGCCTTAGCTTAGCGTTGCTTATCCCATCTTAGCTTAGCCTAGCTGAATTTAGCTTAGCTTAGCTTAGCCTAGCCTAGCCTAGCTTAGCTTAGCTTCGCCTAGCCTAGCCTAGCTTAGCTTACCTTAGCGGATCTTAGCTTAGTTCAGCTTCGCTTAGCTTAGCGCAGCATTAACATAATATACCATAGCATAGCATATCATTGCATATCATAGCATAACATAGCGCAGCATAGTATAGCGAAGAGTAGCGTAGCACAGCATATCATAACATAGCGCAAAATAGCATAGCAAACTATCGCATATCTTAGCTTAGCATAGCACTGCGCAGCATATCATAACATATCATATCATATCATAGCATCGCGCAGCATATCATAGCATATCATAGCATAGCGCAGCATGGCATAGCATAGCATATCATAGCATAGCGCAGCATCACATACCAGAGCATTGCATAGCATAGCGCAGCATATCATATCATATCATAGCATAGCATAGCATGGCATAGTATAGCATAGATGTGGATGTGGGTGTAGATGTAGATGTATGTGTAGAGTTCGGTGTAGGTGTAGATGTGTGTGTAGCTTTAGATGTAGGTGTAGGTGTATATGTGGGTGTAGGTGTAGATGTAGATGTAGGTGTACGTGTAGGTGTATATGTGGGTGTAGACGCAGGTGTAGATGCGAGTGTAGTTGTAGATGTAGATGTAGATGCAGCTACATGTGTACATGTAGATGTAGTTGTAGGTGTAGATGTGGATGTAGGTCTAGATGTATATGTAGGTATTAAGCTGTACTACTACTACTACTACTACTACTACTACTACTACTACTACTACTACTACTACTACTACTACTTCTACGACCACCACTACTACTACCACTACTACTACTACTACGACGACGACGACGACGACTACTACTACTACTGCTACTTCTACTACTACTACGACTACTACGACTACTACTACTACTACTACTACTACTACTACTACTACTACTACTACTACTACTACTACTACGACTACTACGACTACTACGACTACTACGACTACTGCTACTACTACTACTACTGCTACTACTACTACTACTACTACTACGACTACTACTACTACTACTACTACTACTACTACTACTACTACTACTACTATTACTACTACTACTACTACTACTACCGCTACTGCTACAACTGCGACGAACGAAGCGCCGTGCACGTCAGGGGCGCGTTGGCAAATAAGTGAAACAGCAAGTTCCGTTGCCGGAGGCGCGGCTGCGAATCAAGAAGACGCCGCGCAGACACCGACAGCGACGACGGCGGCGGCGAAGGGGGGGAGGACGACGAGGGGGAGGAGGACGAAGGCGAGGAGGAGGGCGAGGAGGAAACAGCACTGGCAGGCTCAATGCTCACGCTGTTTCAGTCCATGTGAGTGGCTCTCCCACCACCCCGGAAGCAGAGACAGTCCACTCTACATTCAGACAAACCGTCCATATCTGCTGAATGCTACAGCTGCGAAGAGAGGCGCCTTGCGACTCCGCGCCAGTCTCCAGGTCTGTGCCGCCACAGCTCCGCCAAGGCGTCTCGGCCACCGGCCGCTGCGCAGGCGAAGTCAAACACATTGCGCTTCCATGTGTTCCTCGGTCTGCCCCGCCTCCGGGGCCCGAAAGGGCGGGCTAGGATGAACGACCCTGGTTGGAAGACCGTTCGTCGCGTGACATTGTCTTCTGGTAGACAAGCGATTTTTCCAATCAGCTCGAGCTGCTTGCAAGCTAAACTGGATGTCAGACGATTCCTGCCGCACCTCTCCAGCACGGCTGCGTTGGACACCCGGCTGAGATAGGAGTGAGGGACTCCTGCGATTCTTCGCAGGCGCCGAGCTTGGAAGGCGTCCAGTCGCGATCTCTCTGCCTGGTTCAACCAGAGGGTGTGCAGGCAGTACATCAGCTTGGACACGACACAGGCTTCAAACATCATGACCTTCTTGGGCAGACATATCTTTGCGTGTCTCCACAGTCTGCACAGCGTGTCGAAATCTTTCTGGGCCATGCCGATGCGCCGACTGAGTTCAGCTCCGCTCCCACCGTCTGCGTGGAGCAGCCCCCCAAGATACACCATGTTATCCTTCTGGGTGATCGGTTGACCGTCAGGGCGTAGGAGCTGTGTCTGGCAACGAATTGACATTACCTCTAGCTTGCCCCAATCAAAACATAAACCATAATTGGTGCCGGCCTCTCTGATGCTCTCCATGAGATCGCGGACGTACTCCTCTGTCACACCAACAATCAATGTGTCATCGGCGTAGATCAATTCGCTCAGGTGCAGCCGGCCATCTTGATGAATGCCTCTGCCGAGCATGCTGCGCGTCGCTTCGAACATCAGCAGGGTCATCACGATCGAGAAGAGAAAAGGCGACAGCGGGCATCCCTGTGATATCCCGAACGCTTGCGGCCTTGAATCGGACATGGGCCCCGCGTCGCGCACGCAGAAGCTCTGGTTAGCATATATGGCCTTGACCGCCGATGCGAACTTCTCGGGCGCACCGAAGCGGACGAGCGCCTGCGCCAAGCCATCGGGAGACACGCTGTCGAACGCTTTCGCCCAGTCAAGCGCGAGGAGAATCAGCTCGCCTGCTTCGGAGCCCCACGTGTCCTCGATCGAACACCTGGCGATGAACAGAGCGTCCGCTGTTCCCCGGCCAGATCGGAAGCCGAGTTGAGTGGTCCATATGCGTTCTTCGGCCCCTGCCTTTTTCAGTCGCGACAACAATATCATTGCGTGCAACTTGTACCCAATCGGCAGAAGGGATATGGGTCGATAATTTGCACAGTCAGAAGAATCGCCTTTCTTGAATATTGCAGAAACGACAGCCTCGTGCCAGGCTTCGGGAACGTCTGCTTCCAGCCAACACCGGTTGCAAAGTAAGACAGCCCACTGGCAAGCTGGCGTCTCAGCCACGCACGCAGCCTTCCAGAACTCAGCTGGCACGCCGTCCTTTCCCGCGGCCCGGTTCCGCTTCAGAACTCGCGCCGCTTCGCATACTTCCTGCTCGGTAACCGGCCCCAATTCTGTCGGGAGTGCGCCCCCCATTGGTTCGGGATTGTCGACGACCGTAGTCGGCCTCACTGCCCACTGCACGTTCTCGAAATATTCTGCCAGAGTTTGCGCTCTCAGGTCGCTGTCTACAAGGCGCCCTTGTGAGTCCTTCATTCGGCCCTGCGCGGCCGTCGAACCTTTGCGCAACCTTCGGACTTCGTCCCAATCTCCGGTCTGCAGTCGCTTGTCCAGCCAGATGCTCTTGTCGTTCTGCACAGAAGCTTTTATCCTGCCATTGAGAATCTTCTCGCGTGCCAGATGGCCCCCCGCCCGGGCCCTGTTCCTAGCTGCGATCAGTTCCACCGTGGCGTCGCTGATCCACGGGCGCCTGCGCGCCTGCCGGGTCTGGGGCAGACACGCAGCAGCAGAAGCAGAAAAGGCAGCAACTATGCTAATGTTCAGCTCGTCGAGCGTCTGCCGGGCCCCCCGACGCTCTGCTGCCATGTAGTCCGCGAAAACGTTGTTGAAGCTTCGCTGGGGCGGTGCTTGAGCGAGCGCCTGCACGTCGACTTTCTGCCGGCACGGTTGGCGGGCGTCGTCGATGTCGAGCAGGGCGTAGCACAACAGCAAGAAATGGTGAGAAGCGAGAGCTATATCTTTGTTGCTTCGGACGTCTGTCACGCACTCCAGGCGTGCACCGGAGCATAACAAGAAGTCGATTTGGCCATAATGTTCTGGGACTGCTGGACTGGACGGCTGTGATCCGACATTGTAGCACGTGACGTGCTGCTCTGCGGGATGGTTGAAGAATGTGTTCGCGCTCACGAAGTCATGGGTGCTGCACAGCTCGAGCAACAACGTCCGATTGGAAGACGGATTATGCTGCGCGGCAGGGTTGCCGAATATGTGTTCCCCCAGGTGCGCGGACTCCCCGGCGAAGCGCCTGTGCAGCCTCGCATTGAAATCGCCCAACACCACTGCCCGTTGCCGGCCAGATGCGCCAGATAGCTCTTCTCCAAGCTTTGTGTAAAAAACCCGTCTGGCGTTCAAGGGCTTGCCACTGTGAGGGGCGCACACACTGAAGATAGGAAGCTCCCCACCATGGACACGCAACTTGATCAACATGATCCTGGCAGAAACCATCCGAAAACCGACGATGTTTCTCCGGATGTCTGGCGCGATCAAGAAAGCAACGCCGGCGGTCTCCTGATCGTCTGAGTCCCCCGATTGGATCAGTAGGAAACCGTTGTCTGTAATATCGTACACGGACTCGTACTTGTGAGTTTCTTGTGATGCCAAAATATCAATACTAAGCTCCTGCATGTGAACCTGGAGTTCCTCCACCTTTGCCTTGGTGGGCCCCTCCACGTTCCAGGAACCCAGCAGAACGTCCCTCCCGCAAGGGCGCAGATTCCCACCTCGAAAGCCAGGGTCTCCAGCGCCATTGCTCCCAGCACGTGCATATGTACAAGTTGATAAAGAGTTCGATTGTGAAACTCTCGGTGAAACCGTGCCGGACGGCTCCTGTAGACCCTATTCTGAGGCCACCGCCTTTGCCGCGACCCTTGGAGCCCTTCATGCCCGTGGTGGCTTTCACGGCGAGGGAGTCGCACTTGTTCGTAAGGTCCGTCACCTCCGGGCTGCTGTGGACCTCCTCCC